CTACTATGGAGCAGGGCCAGACCGAACTTCCCCGAATTCAAACCTTGTGGGCGGGACTAAGTTCGGACTGGCACCCAGGCTAGTAGTTGTAAATGTGCTATATAAATAAAGTTGGACCATGACCACAGGTTGCATACCTATGCCTATCAAGGTCAAATTCAGAGAGGTTAATGTGGATTTAAGGTTGTAACCCCTGCGGATTAAACATCTACAAATCAGACAGGGTCCCACTGTCAACTGTGCATGTAAAAACACATATTTACTCACTTACTGTTTATACAGCATGGGAGAGTGTTGGAGTTTCTTTATCTCAATTCTGTCCTTGTGCTGTCATTTCTATACCTTTGCACAGTGCTTTGTTCCTTGTTGCAGTTGTACATGCCTTACATAAATATATTTGAACTTGTGGGTGGGGCTGTGAGACTATAAAAACATGCGGAGTCAAGAACTCACAAGTCTGGAAGACGTGAATGCAGCTCAACCAAAGAACTGATCTCTATCAGGTAAGGAAAAGCTTTTTCTTTCCAAACAGCTTCAAAAAAGTTCTGTTGTAATACTGAATTTCATTCAGCACCATTATAGTTTTACTCCACATTGTTTCTGTATTTAACACCTCATGTCTAGGTCCTTTTTGGATTAGAGACATGTCCTCAGATCAGATTGAGATAGCTGCCCTAGGCCGGCCGTTCTCCTTGGGGATGCTGTATGATGCTCGCAAAGATCAGCTGATGACAGGTGAGAACAAGCCTGCTTTTTGTAGTTCTGCAGTTTATTAAGACTCAAACAGAGGGCAAGTAATCATGATTTATAACAGTGTTTTCTAAACCTGGCGCCTGCTTCTTTCCAAAGACATTTGCTGAACCGTAATCATCCAAATCAGGTGTGTTAAAGAAGGGAACCATCTAAAATATGCTAAATTAAATGGATTAACTAATCTCGAAAGAATCCTTACAATCTCATCAAGACAAATACTCTTATTGAACAGAAAAATAAAACTATTAAATGTGGTTTATTTAACATAAACCCTCTTTCTTCAACGACTTTGCTAGTTGCCCTCTGGGAAAAGGCTTTGCAGCATTCGACGCAGGTCCAGCAGGTTCTGTAACAGCTGCCGTCAAACTGTTGAAAGGTTTAAAACTCTAATCAGTTCACAAATCAAGACAGCATCTCACTTTAAACATTATACTTGCACTACATTGTGAACCTACAAAACAGAACTGTTTCTACTGCATTTTGAGACATATATAGTTGTTGTTTTTTTTTGCACTGTTCTGAACCATCCACATCAATGGATTTTGCACCATGTCACTCCGTCATTTTATGTAATGTAATGTATATATGTTGTTTTTTTAATCCAATGTTGTGTTAAATAACGTAGAATATTTTAAAATTCATGTTGATACTAAGGGTGATAGCCTACAGCAAAAATGGTCTAGACATAAGTAAAAATGTCTTAAATTAAGTATATTTACCCTTGAATTGAATAGGTAAATCAGATGATCTGCCAATGGAATACGTATTTTTACTCTTAAAATAAGATATTTAGATAAAATGCACTTAAAATAAGACAATGCAATAGTGTTTTCTTATTTTAAATGTAGATTGTCTTGTTCCATTGGCAAATTATCTCACTTAACTCCACAATTCAAGAACAAATGCACTTATTTTTTAGAAAAAATGACTTATTTAGATTTCCATTTTTTGCAGTGTTGTTATGCTATATTGGACTCAATTGGCTTTACTTAAAGAATTCACAGTAAAACCCACTCTTGTTATCACTCTAATGCATAAATCTAATCTAATGGATGTGTTTTTATGAACTGCACAGGTTTCACTCTCTGTAATGACGAAACCATCAAGAAGAACACTTCCACTAAGGCTCAGAACAGCTGTTCTTATCATATAACAGCTTCTGACACATTTGAATCCAAGTCTTCTCTGCTGGATGTTAATGTGTCGCTCAAAGCCAGTATCCTGGGTGGTCTGATCGACGTTGGAGGATCTGCCAGTTATCTAAATGATAAGAAAAAATTCAAGAACCAGAGCAGAGTCACCCTTCAGTACAAAGCCACAACTACATATGAACATCTGTCTCTTTCTCATCTTGAACACAAGGAACTGGAAGCTAAAGGTTTTACTCCAAATCCGAGTGCAACACATGTAGTAACAGGCATCCTTTATGGAGCAAATGCTTTTTTTGTGTTTGATAGTGAGAAGTTAGATTCAAGCAGTCTTCAGAAGATTGGGGCCAGTGCAAAAGCTGCAATTAACAAGATCCCACTCTTCAGTTTTGAGGCAAGTGTTAAAGTAGAGCTCAGTGAAGAAGAAAAAGATGTAACAAATAAGTTCTCCTGCAAATTCTACGGAGACCTAATTCTTGACAAGAACCCTGCAACATTTGAAGATGCAGTAAAGACATACTCCAGACTTCCAGAGCTCCTTGGAAAAAATGGAGAGAAATCAGTTCCTGTTAAAGTCTGGCTGACTCCTCTGAAGGACGTCTTACCATCTGCATCAGAGCCGATGGGAGATTTTTCAGTTGGGTTGGTCAGAAAAGCAACCAATGCTCTGGAAAGTATGAGGGAAATGGAAATGAGATGCAATGAAGCACTGGATGAGAAAGTAGTGCAAAGTTTTCCACAGCTTCACAAAAAGGTGAAACGTTTCCAAGATCTCTGTAGCGACTACACAGCGCTGTTGAGAAAGACCATACAGAAAAAGATTCTCCTGATTCGTGAAGGTAAAGAAGATGAAAAATCTGTAGAAAAACTCCTTGATGACCAGGAAAACTCTGCTTTTAGTCCCCAAAACTTAGATAAGTGGTTAGATAATACTGAGAGAGAAATCAACATTATCAGATCATGTGTGGAAAGTATAGAGGGAATCGAGACCGTTGCAGAAGAGTCTGACTTGGACAGAGAAGTTCTTGCTGCAGGTGTAGAAATTTCTCTCTGCTTTGTTTTCACATCTGTGGAAACTGACGACCCCTTCATTGAGCAGATGACCGACTATTTAAGGAGAGATAAGGCAAGACCTCCACCAAGTGTGACTGCACCCACCAAGGACCACTGGTTCTTCTCAAACGATGTTGTTACCAACATGAGGAAAAAAGCCAGTGAGTTCTACTCAATTGCCAAAAACCTGAAAAGTAGCAGAAGATTTCGTTTCCTTATAGCAGCTCTGCCAAATAAAAAATTCAAAGGAGCAACCATCTACCAATACATGGACGGCCTTCTGAAAACTGAAGACTTCAAAAAGCCTGTTATTACTGATATTACAGCTAACTTAGATCGAAGAGACTTCATGTACTGTAAGTATATTATCTTTATGGCGTTTGTTTGGTTGAAATATGTTATGTTTTAATTTAAACTAAGATATCTAAAATGGACACATTTATTTAAAGAGATTTCTTCTGATCTAATACACACTGCAAAAAATGTTTCATTTTTTCTTCAAATAAGTGAGTTTTGTCTTGAATTTAGGAGGGAAG